CTGGGCGTGTATTGAGAGACTCTGCAGAGGAACTGACTGATGTCTTCACAGACATTTTCAACATCTCACTAAGTCAGGCTGTTGTCCCCACATGCTTCAAAGCTACCACCATCATTCCAGTCCCAAAGAAGTCGTCTCCATCCTGCTTCAATGACTACCGTCCAGTTGCACTTACTTCTATTCTCATGAAGTGCTTTGAACGGCTAGTTATAAACCACATCAAGTCTGTCCTCAACCCCCCACCCCCCGCCGGACCCCTTCCAGTTTGCATATCGGTCCAACTGCTCGACAGATGACGTCATCGCTACTGCCCTCCACTCAGCACTCACACATCTGGACAAAAAAGACTCATACGTCAGAATGCTGTTCATAGACTTCAGTTCAGCATTTAACAGAATCATCCCTCAACAGCTCATTCACAAATTGGTCCAGCTGGGGCTCAACACTTCGCTGTGCAACTGGCTGTTGGATTTTCTGACTGGAAGACCTCAGGCAGTACGGGTCGGCAGTAACACATACAGCACCATCACACTGAACAGTGGGGCCCCCCAAAGATGTGTGCTTAGCCCCCTCCTCTTCACTCTGCTGACCCACGACTGCACACGTCACACAACTCCAACCTCTTCATTAAGTTTGCGGATGACATGACTGTGGTGGGTCTCATTAGCAACAGAGATGAGACAAACTACAGGAGCGAGGTGAGTCGCCTGGCCGGGTGGTGCAGTGACAACAATCTCTCTCTGAATGTGGAGAAGACGAAGGAGATTGTTGTTGACTTCAGGAGAATGCGCACTCAGCATGCTCCTCTGACTGTCAATGGTGCGACTGTGGAGAGAGTGAGCAGCACCAAGTTCCTGGGTGTGCACATCACAGAGGACCTCTCCTGGACTGACAACACCGCAGCACTGGCCAAGAAAGCACAGCAGCATCTTTACTTCCTTCGCAAACTGAGAAGAGCCAGAGCCCCGGCCCCCATCATGTGCACCTTCTACAGAGGCACCATCGAGAGCATTCTGACGAGCTGCATCACTGTGTGGTATGGCGCCTGCAACGCGTCCTGCCGCAAGTCACTTCAACGCATAGTGAGAGCAGCAGAGAAGATCGTTGGTGTCTCTCTCCCCTCCCTCCAGGACATTTACAACACCCGTCTCACCCGCAAAGCCCTCTGCATTGCAGGTGATCCCACCCACCCAACACACAGCTTCTTCAGTCTGCTGCCAGCAGACTGAAGGACAGCTTCATCCATCAGGCTGTCAGGAAGCTGAACTCCCTCCCGA